GCCTGCGCACATGTCGAGGTGTGTGTGTGTGTGTGTGTGTGTGTGTGTGTGAGTGTGTGTGTGTGTGTGCGTGTGTGTGTGTGTGTAAGGGGGGGAGGGGTTGGCGAGGGTGTGTGTGTGTGTGTGTGTGTGTGTGCGCGCGCAAAGGGGGAGGGGGGGTCGGAGAGAGGGGGGGGGTAGGAGGGGGGTGCCGTGACCGCTGGCGCGCGGGCGGGCGCATCACGGCGACGATAGAGCCGATCTCAGAGTCGGTGAGGGAGCCTATTCACAGCGCCCTTCTTCCCCCACCTCAGATTTCCTTGTTTTTGCGTGCCTCGGAATCGCGGCGGGGGCCAAGGCGCGCCACGCCGCCTCGGCCCGCATGTGCGGCAGCACCACGCTGCATCATCGCCGCCGCCTCCGCGAGAGAAGAGGAGCGCGGCCTGTTCACAGCTGCACGTGTGAAGAGACAGCCCCCCCCTCGCTCCCCCCTCTCACTCCCCCGCTGGGATAGAGCGGCGCGGCCTCGATGCGGGGTCCAGCCGCAGCATCGCCTACCAACACGCAACACGGACGCCGATGCGACCCTCTGCACCGCAACAAGAGAGGACCGGCCGCCGCGCGGCATCGCCCGAATCAGCGCCAGGAACGCGTCGTCGATCACGGCCCCGGGCGGAGCGCCTAGGCCACGCGTGCGCTGCTTGGTGAGGGCGTGGGGAGATATGGGGGAGATATGGAGAGATATGGCGGAGATATGGTCGAGAGCTGATTTCACCCAGATCGGCCACTCCGACTCTCTAGAGCGGCGCGCATCGTTTGCCCGAGATGGGGAGATATGGGAAGATATGGGAAGATATGGAGGAGATATGGGGAGATAGAGCGGCGCGCACCACTTGCCCGAGATATGGGGAGATATGGGGAGACATAGGCCACGTGTGCGCTGCTTGGTGAGGGCGTGGCCGTGGCGCGTGCATGGCGTGGACGTGGGCGAGGCGTGGGGAGATGTGGGGAGATGTGGGGAGATGTGAGGAGGTATGGGGAGGTGTGGGGAGATGTGGGGAGATATGGCGGAGATACGGGGAGATATGGGGAGATATAGAGCGGCGCGCCCCACTTGCCCGACAGGATCTGGACGGGGGACGCGTCGGCGAACGGGTGCACGCCTGGAGGGAGGTAGTGCACTGATTCATTGGTTGATCACTGGTGCAAGGAAGGAGGTGTTGCAGTGAGGCTTGGCGCCTGCAGAGTGAGCCACCTCGCAATCAGCTGACGCACCAGACTGGACTGGAGTGTTGGCCCAGGAGAACCGAAGCACAGCGTAAACAGCAAGCAGCCCAGCGCCCACACATCCGCCGGTGGGCCGAGCCGGAGCCCGTTGTGCAAATCGCAGAGCTCTGGCGCACGGTACATTGGCGTCGTGTGGGCTCCCACCCACTCCTCGAGCTCCATGCGCCCTCGCCTGCCCACCGGCCCTTGTTTTAAGATAGGGGGAAAAAACGGCTGGCCTGCGGAGGGGCTACTCGTGGGCCTAGGCCCGCGGCGCTGGAGTGCGCAGCCGCACGGTGTGCAGGGGCGTGGTCACAGCCTACTTCTCCCTCAGCTCCTGCGACATCTCGGCCACAGCTCGGCCACATCTCGGCTGAATCTCGGCTGCATCTCGGCCAGATCGCCCGGCTAGATCGCTCGGCCAGATCTCGGCTAGATCTCGGCCAGATTGCTCGGCTAGATCTCACCTGTCCAGATCCGAAGGCAGCACCCCTCCCGGCTGACCCTCGGGCGACTCGCGCGCCGAGCCAAAGTCGCACAACGCAAACTTTGGTCCAGGGCCAGGCCCGCCTGCGAGGGCACATGGCGGATCTGAGTGGCGGCTGCCCGCCGAGACACCGCCGAATGCGCCGAGTGACCGCCGAGGTGCAGCCGAGGTGCAGCCGACGTACAGCCGAGATGCAGTTAAGATGTCGCCGTCACTGGCGAGGAGACATGAGCTTCTCTCAGACAAGGCCACGCCTCGGCCACGCCTCGGTGGCCATATCTCCCCCATATCTCGGCAAATCTCGCCTGCCACCGGCGAGGAGACGAGCACATTCTCGATCTTGACGTCGAAGTGGGTGAGAGCCTTGCTGTGCATGTGTGCCTGATTCAAATCACTGAACTGATCGGCTGCTCATTCGTTGCCGTGCATGTGCTCCACAGTGCAACGTCTCGGCCACAATGTGACGTCTCGGCCACATCTCGGCCATATCTCGGCCACAGCTCGGCCACCCTCTGCCACACCTCGGCCACACCTCGGCCACACCTCTGCTAGATCTAAGCTAGAGCTCGGCTAGAGCTCGCCAGCGCGGCGGCGACGTGCTCGAGGGCGCGAAGCTTGGCGAGCGGCTTCATCGGCGCCGAGGTGGCGTACCTGTTCACACCCGTCGCTGTGAAGAGGCGCTCTTCACACTCGCTATCCGCCACCTTTTGGCGCAGAGGCGACGCACTCCCACAGGTGCCCGCCGCCGGCAAAGGGAAGCAGCGCGAGGAACTCCTCCGTGCCGTCCTTCCGCCTACAGCCAGCCCGCCGACCCGCCTCAGAGGCACCGCCCCTTGGAGCCCGGAACAACCTCTGCGTGGCTGGGCTCTCACGCCGTTCGTGCGAGTCGCCGAGCAGGGCGAGGAGGTTGTCGTGCCGGAGGGAGCGGTGGATCTCGAGCTCGCGCGCCGCCGCCGCCGCACGCTCCTCGGGCACCAGAACCCGCTTCACCGCCAGTCGCGCACCCGAACCCGTGTCCCGCGCCTCGTAGATGGTGGCGTGGCCGCCCTCGGCCATCACGCGCTGCAGCCGGAGCTGCCGGCCGCCGAGGGAGACCATGCGGCCGGTGCCGTCCTGGCTGGCGCCCTCGAGCCCGAGGAAGCGCCACATGTGAGGCGGGCAGCGCCTGTGACAGCGAGCGGGAGCAACAGCGCCCTGCCCCTGGTCGGCGGCCGCGAAAAAGAATTGCTGCGTCGGCGTGGGCCCTAACTCGGTGTGCATCTACCACCGCACGAGGCTAACGGGATGCGTCCCGTGCGACATCGGCGACGCGCGAGTGCCGCGCACGCTGTCGCTCTTCGAGCACCTCAACGGCACGCACTGGGATGGGTGCAACTACGGCGGCTGGCTGGCCACGGGGCACACATCCCTCAACACCCACGTCACGAACGTCGCCCGCGCCTTCGGCGCCTCGGCAAAGGTCATGGAGGTGAGGCTCGGCTGCAGGGACCCGACGCGGGCGCACGATCCGGACACCAACCCGTACCAGCGGGGCGACGGCGTCTTCGGCAACTATGCAGAGTCGGCGCGCGCCGTGGTGTACGACGGCACGTGCGTCACCGCGGTGCACCATGACAAGCTGCGCCCGCTGGCGAGCGGCAAGCGCCTAGCCACCGACTACGCCGAGGCGACGAAGCGGAAGGCCAAGGCAGCGGCGTGCGACGCCAAAAACTGCGACTTTATGACATGGGCGGCGAGCACGCGTGGCGGCATCGGGCACGAGGCGGCGACGTGGTTCAACACCAACTTCGACATCAAGGCCGCTAAGGCGTCCTCCGACAGCGAACGATGGCGGGTCAGTAGCGAGCGCAAACGCTTCCTGCAAGTGCACTCGGCCATCGTCGCGAGGCGCAACGCCGCCATCTTCGACTACAACGCGTGGCCGAAGATGGGCGGCGAGATGCCGCGGGCGCCTCGGGAGCAGTATGAATAGGGACGGGCGAGGGAGGAGGGGCGCTAACCACGGGCGACTACGAGTCGAAGGTTCGAGGACGACTACTCGCCGCCTGGGTCGTTTGGGGCGCGCGGCTCCGTCGAGGACCGGGCGCGCTCCTTACCCGGCGCGGCGTAGGTCTCACTCTGACGTATAGAGGGGAGGCACGGACAACAGCCCAATCCATCAATTCCACTCATCTTCCGGTGCTTGGCCCCGTGCAACAGCGGTCCGGCAGGCTGCCCCCAAGGCCCCCCGGGCCGCTGCGGGTTTGGGAGTTATGCTTAGGCACAGCTTCGGCGATGGCAGCCCCTCTCTGGGGTGTTGCATAGGCGGGGAGTCTCCCCCGCTGGTCTCCTCCTTCCCATTTTTTCTTTTCTTTTGAGAGCAGGACGCCGGGTTTGTCTTGTATGTGCATGTCGGGCCTGGGTGTGTGTGAGGGGCAGCGGGGCGGGAGCGTGCGGGGCAGAGGCCCAACGTCGGGCGGCTTGTCGGGGTCCGGAGCATTCGAGGGGGGAACGAGGAGGGGAGAATGGGCGGTCGGCGTCGGGGTAGCAGGCTGCAGGGCGTACGGGGTAGCCGTCACTTTCCTGCCTCACAAGGGCGGGGCTGTCCCGGACCGTGAGAGACGCCGGGCAGCGTGGCGCATTACTGAACCCTCCCATACGTGCTTGTGCTTCCCCCTTCGCTGTCCCATCTCCTCATCTCTTTCCCACCTGGGCGGGGCGGTGGGCGGGCGCGCGGTGCGGCGCGGCGTGTGCGTGTGTGCGACTGCAACGAAGGACCGCTCGCAGAGGACCATTGGGTTTGTACTATTAACAACGAAGGCGCTCTCAAAAAGAATTTTTGGATTTGAATTTTACCACCCCGTTTCGCAAAAGCAGAACTACGTCTCTCTCGCCGGGGCTTGACAAAGGGTGAAAGAAAGAATTGTTGGAGCTAAACAGTTGATCACCCAAGTGCCTCTGTATCACGCACAGTACATCATGCCCGTAAATTTGATCTCTTTCCCTTCACATTCATTATGCACAGCAACCACATCAGTCGCTGCTGCTGTGCATTCCATCCCACGGCCCGCCACCGCCCACCTCGATCGAGCTTTGCGAAAACAACAACCCGGCGGTGTTTGAGCTGTTGCGTCGTAGCTGCTGCTGGGCCCATCGGGGAGATCCGGTGAGCTCGGTCGCTGACGGCCTGAGGACCTCTCCGCTGAGGACCTCTCCATCGTGAGGACCTCGCTTTTGCTCTCCGCTTGTGTTGTTGGGACCTCTAGGGTGGTAGAAAGTCGCACCTCACGGCATGCCCTGTCGAGTTTTGTCATCGGTTGGGCTCGCGCGTCCGGCTCGCGTCAGGCGCTCTCGGCTCTCAGAGCTGAGCTCTCGGGGTGACAACGCGTAGCATGATGTCTCCTGAGGACCTCTCGTGAGGACCTCTCCTCTCGTGAGGACCTCTCGAGCGAGCATCCTCGAAATCGAGGGGGGGGGGGGGGGGCGTGCGACAACTACAACCCTGCGCGCCGCTCACTCGCCTTGGGGTGTGTGAATCATGGGCCGCTGAGAATAGAGCGCCTAGCTCTCTCGCCTGTCGGGTCAAAGCACGGAAATGATTTCTCTCAGAATCAAATGGCATTGTCGACCATCAACATGTTGACAACATTTTGTTGTGTACAGGTCCCCCGGTATGTCGCGTGTGTACTTTCATTCTTCACTACCAACCTCTCAGTGAATATGTTCTGGTTTTTGAGCTCGGCGAATTCATTCTTTTGCTACAGCTTAGATCAGCGGCAAACTTCAGCGGCAAACTCAGGCCTAGTCTGGCCGATTTTTTTGCGGTATCTTGATGTATCTCTCCATATCTGACCGTATCCCGCCATATCCCGCCATATCCCGCCATATCCCGCCATATCCCGCCATATCCCGCCGTATCCCGCCGTATCCTGCCCGCCTCACGCCGAGCAGCCCGGCCTGTGCCACGGCGGGGCGGGCCTCGGACCAGGGGCGGACATGGCCGTCGCCCTCTTTGCGTACGTGGGCGACGTCAACGAGTCCGTCGTGACCACGAGCTTTGGGTGCACAGCGGCGCAGCGGGCGCGGGCGCTGACTGATGATGGACCAAAGTTTGCGTTGTGCGACTTTGGCTCGGCGCGCGAGTCGCCCGAGGGTCAGCCGGGAGGGGTGCTGCCTTCGGATCTGGACAGGTGAGATCCAGCCGAGCAATCTGGCCGAGATCTAGCCGAGATCTAGCCGAGCGATCTAGCCGGGCGATCTGGCCGAGCGATCTGGCCGAGATGCAGCCGAGATGCAGCCGAGATGTGGCCGAGCTGTGGCCGAGATGTCGCAGGAGCTGAGGGAGAAGTAGGCTGTGACCACGCCCCTGCACACCGTGCGGCTGTGCACTCCAGCGCCGCGGGCCTAGGCCCACGAGTAGCCCCTCCGCAGGCCAGCCGTTTTTCCCCCTATCTTAAAACAAGGGCCGGTGGGCAGGCGAGGGCGCATGGAGCTCGAGGAGTGGGTGGGAGCCCACACGACGCCAATGTACCGTGCGCCAGAGCTCTGCGATTTGCACAACGGGCTCCGGCTCGGCCCGCCAGCGGACGTGTGGGCGCTGGGCTGCTTGCTGTTTACGCTGTGCTTCGGTTCTCCTGGGCCAACACTCCAGTCCAGTCTGGTGCGTCAGCTGATTGCGAGGTGGTTCACTCTGCAGGCGCCAAGCCTCACTGCAACACCTCCTTCCGTGCACCAGTCATCAACCAACGAATCAGTCGGGCAAGTGGGGCGCGCCGCTCTATATCTCCCCAATCTCCCCGTATCTCCGCCATATCGCCTTCGGGAATTCTGCAAAGGGGTGTGAACGGAGAGAGCAAACTCCTGGCAGCTCCCACAGCCGAAATGTGCGCCAGCTGCCCGCTCACCTGTGTCACGCCGCCGCGCACGCACCTCGCTATGTGCTCGCGCGAGCTCCCGCCCGAGCCTCCAGCTCGGTGTCCCACTGCTGCGGAGCCGATCGCTTCTCCTCGGCGCTCGCGTCGAGCCGAGCTCTCGGCACTCTACGGCGGGCGTCGCTGTGCGGGGCGCCCGTTTCCTGCTGGCCCGAGCGGAAAGCTCCACGTGCCCGCGCGAGCTCCCGGCCGAGCCTCCAGCTCGGTGTCCCACTGCTGAGGAGCCGATCGTCGTCCGTCGGTGCTCTCGAGGAGCCGAGCACCTTGGCCTGCGGCCGGCGACGCTGCAGGACGGCGCGCGCGCACCCCGCGA